TTAGCCACATGACACATTATACCGTATGCTGAGTTCGAGCCTAGACTAGGTCCGAGTCTCTATCCGGCCACAACAGAGGTCCAAGCAAAAAACATACAAAGATGCCCCCCCCCTTTTTTTCGAGAAGCAAATCCCATAATGATATTGATATCTTTATTTATTTAAAAATTCAGAACTTGCTCATTTGTTGATCCATTTCCGCCGTGTGAAGAGACAAAGCCAAAATATTATTATAAAGAATGCCATGGGGGTCTGTTTGACTTTGGTGTAGGCTACGTGCATCTCGTAGTATTGTCATATTTATTATCATTAGCCTATATCAGGCCAACATCTTTATCATTACTATTACATGTATTATCATCACTATTATCATCCAGTATTATTGTTGTTGCTGTAGTTGTGAATAATATTATCAGAAGTCAACTCTCATTGCAGGGCAAAAATCTCAGCTGACTAAAACAAGCAGGAGGAATGCTGGATGGAGGACAGAGAGCCCTGTCCAAAGTAAACGGAGGAACAACCAAGGCCCAAGGACCTCACTGGTGTAATAATAACCTCCTTGGGGATAACCCACAAAAGGAGTAAGATCAAACTTTGGTAAGATTACTTAGTGGTGCGTAACCTCCTCACGTTAGAGTGGGAAGACGGTTTGGCTCGGCCAGAGCAGCTCAAAAGAGCAGTTTGCTCTTCCTCCAGCTGGCTGCTGTTGTAGAGTTTGTAGGAAGAGGTGGGCAAAACCCGGATAAATATCCGGATAATCGGATAATCCTCAATAAGACAATATCCGAATTCAGACTCTTAACTCTCTTTCCTGACCCGTCTGCCGAAGTGGGTGCACCCCATAGAGTTATCTCCTTTTATACTATAGTGTACATCTATGGTGCACCCAATTGTTGAAGTTGTGCTAACCCGGTTGTCAAAGTGGTTCTAACCCATTTGCCGAAGCGGTTCATGACATCAGAAGAGGGGCACTTACATATTATCCGAATTTTGTTAAAGCGACTCATTGCCCAGCCCTAGACTTGTAGGACGGACGCCCCATGACTCTCCTCGCGCAAGTCCCTGTCAGTTCACCGTGGTCTCCCCGCGCTGGGGATACGTAACCCAGTCTAGACAGGCTCACCTTTGACCCCTTGACCCATTGCCTGGCGGCGGAGAAGAAGAGCAGCAGGGGAGCCAGCAGCAGCAAAGCTGTGGGAATGTTGAGATTGAGGAGGAGGGTGTGAGGGGGGGGGAGTGGGGTGTGCGTG